TTGGAATATTCGAGTGTTCATGGTCAAGTTGCATTATTCAGCTTTAGTCGAACAGTCGAAAAGAATCAGTTACTGTTGACGAATTACACACAAAGCGTGAAGCGCAAAGTTTTAGAACCCAAAAAGTTTTACGGTGCTATAGATTCGGCGTTTTTGGCTGATTGTGAATTGGAAAATTAGTACGTTATTTGTTACTAACCTTGCTGTGATTTATAGTTTGTGATCGGTTTCATGTCTGGATCATTATTCATGTTATACATTTTTTTTGCTGGTTCCTTGGTAGAATCTCACAGATCGATCTGAAGTGATGGAGCAAATCAAACAAGTTTATCTTTTCATTACAACACATACGAAATGAGTGGTACGTTTATAATCGGAAAACGAATGAACAATCGATTGGTTACGGAAAATAATGTTTTTATAGCCATCAAAATGTAGTAATGTGATATTTTAATAAGAGAATTATTTGATTTTGCATGGCAAACGTAAAGCGACGGTGTGGTTAGGAAATTTAGCGATATGCTACGTTGATGGAACATTGATTGCGTTAAATTATATTTTCGCATTATTCACTAAATTGACGGATAGCGTTTTCACATTTTTCTAATTATTGGTTTTTCCTTGTTTCCGTTCCAGCTTTCAGAACGGTTGCAAATAATCAAAGTTGTTCAGTATTAGCTTCGAGGTGAAACAGAGTAGAAGTTAGCACTTTCATCAGCTTCAGGAAATATGTCCCGGAAAGTCTTCCCAGCGAGATTCGGGATGATATTTGACATCGGTTTGACAATTTCCTCACAATCAGGATAAGCTTTGGATCTTATCGGAAGGAGGAATTCGGATGCCGAAACAGAAAGAAAGGATGGTGGAGGCGTCAGATCGCTTGTGTTATGGGTTGGTGCCAAGAACGGCGAAATCTCTTCTCGAGACNCGGTCTTCTCCTCTCCTGGAAATATCAAATTCATTTGGTGACTTGGAGCTCTTGAATGTGTAGATTCGAAAGGGAACAACAGATTATAAAGCAAACATTTTCGGATTCATTTGTGATGAATGATGATTTCTCGCTCGCTGTTATTTCGCTCTTTTCGAAAAATATCATGACATTAGAGCAAGAAATTCATTGTTCCGCAAACTTCTTCGAGGTAGAGGCCTGCCTCACAAAAATGATCCATGAGTGAGAATCCAACAAATGAGCACAACCAATCGCAAACAAACAGCGAATTTCCATTTCCATCATGAGATTGATTCGCGCGGAATTCTTTTCTTATGTGGAGAATTATTTCAAGCTGAAGAATTAACTGTCTTGACGTTCGGAAGCCTGGAATTTTTATGTGTAGAAAGAAAAATCAAATTGTTAACTCAATCGATATTGTGCGCTGTATATACATACACGAAAACAGACATAGTTATAGCAGCACATTGTGCGTATTCGAATGTGTTACAATTGAGTGCGAGTCAAAGCGCATACGCAGACTAATTTATTCGATTGATTGAGCAAATTGCATTTTCTGTCCAATTTATCCCAAATTTTTCATGAATCTNTTCATTCAGTTAAAGTAATTTCTGCAAAGAAAAATTCTCAAGTAGAATTTTAGTTCATTGCCATTTGAAGTTTATTGCTGTTTGCATTGCAATCACTTTCTTTCGATCCCTCCTCCACAACACTCGGAATATTGATTATTTATTAAAGCGAATGTCACAAATTGAAATAATTTTCACTTTCCGAACTCAACCACTTGTATCGGTCATGTCCCACCGAAGTCGTCCGACTCGTTCTTACAGCCCAATTCTCTGCTGATATTAGTTGAATGACAACGAAGTTTTATTATTTGATCGTTATTCAATTCGTTTCATGAAATATTGATATCGTTTCATGATATTCATGAGACAGCAATAGACATACATGTGTACAGGAACAGTTGATCTTTAATGTTCTGATCTCAGTTTGAAATTATCATTTTGATGTCGAGTTTGAATTGCTGACAAAGCAAACCTTTTTTTGTGCTAATTGTAAGCACTATTAGTGCTTAACGCGATGCATTTTATTCTTACGTAAGAAGAGATCAAATATCAAAAATGTCAATTCTTACTGATATGAGATGTATTTTATTGAACTCAAAAAACTTTTATTGTAGCTGGAAGTGCATAAATCAAAGACACTTCATGCTTTCATTGTTTTATTGCTGAAAAATGTCCTCTTCAGAGGGGGACTTTTCGTAGTGATGTGACAGACATATTGTGAGTGCCTATAATCGGGATTATAAATTGCATGAAGACGAACGGTGATTCCTTGTGCTAACATCGCTAAGTGGATGAAGAGAACGATGCCAGTGAATGAACAATGTGATATTGGTGGTAGCAGAGGTGCATCAACTTTTAATGGGTTGTAATCGCTAACTAACAACTAAATAAATGAAGATTGTAACCAACATCATGATCGATACGGAAAAGTCTTAACTTACAAGTTCCTTTGTGATAGTAAGAATCCCATCCTGGTGCCATATTGGGAATGGTGGAATCCACGAGAGAATTTCGTATGGAAGTTAAAATCGAAGACATCATGCTTAATCTTACAAATAAACGAGTAGAATCTAACTACTGATAAGGAATGATAGAAAATTTTATGAATTTGATTGAAAAAAATTTATTATGTTCAACGGTAAACCGTTTAACATTTTATCACGAACCGTCAATCTCATATAAGTTATTACGTCGTATTCATTGATAGTGTCTCGTCCATAGATGTGGTGATGTGAATTTTAATCTATTATATGATATTTCCATTGCATATATCGATGGGTATTTCCAACACATGTGTTATTTTTTATTTTGTGCTTTCATATCGTTTAGAGATAGGAGTTCATATCGTGTCGTTAATTGTGTTTACGGGTGCAGGTGGTATGCGTCGGTTGCATTTGAATTCATTTATTTGGTTGGTTACTTCATTGTTGCTGTATTGTCGAATCGCGCTCGCAATTAACGCTCGAATAATTGATTCGGAGTGAGCAATTTGAATTTGTATTGCAGTTTGATAAATAATCGAAGAGAAGATGGGCAGCATAGCACGTTCGGTGACAGCATATTTTATGCGCTCTTCACGCAAAGAATGGATGGATTATTTTATGTCAACTCATTTTTGGGGACCTGTCGCCAACTGGGGACTACCGTTGGCGGCGATTGCTGACCTGAAAAAAGATCCTGACATGATATCAGGTTCGTGTTGGTTGAAGGCGATTTTGTGCTTTGTTGTTTTTTGGAGGAGAGGAACTCAGCAGCGATAGAGTTATTCTCTGAATTGTTGTAATTATCAAATATTGTGATCTGTTATCTTTTCAATTTAGAAAAGGCAGTTATTGTTAGCGGACGGAATTTC